TCTGAGTGGTTAATAAAGTTTGAAATTTACTGAAATGTATTGCAATATATTAATGAATAATTACCAGGGTCTGAGTTTGTACATTTAGTCAATGATAGTGGCAATTACGTATTCTGGCACTTGTTCATACTGTAATTAGGCCCGGCCTGACTTGGGGATTAACATTAGGGCTGGCTTTGGCATTCCTTCCCAGGCATGGGTTATTTAAAGGCCCAGGTATACTATAAATACGCTCCTAAACAATAGGGATTATTTCCTTGCTTGTCACAATGTAGTAAACAGCTCCAGCCAAGCTCCGGTAAAAACGCGTTTTCTCAAACTTACAGGTCGATTATGTCGTGCCAAAGTGGATGTATGTGACTATGAATATCACAGCAGTGACTGTGTGTAGTATTTATGTCAATAAATAGTGTACGAGTTGAGATTTTGGCGGATAAAAGTCAAAAACATGAACCAGGGAAAGGGACGCGCTACTAATCTTGAATAATTAACTACTGCCAATCAAAGTCACGTGATGTTGGACCTCTGAAACGGGATGCGTCATAGGCTATGCAAGTGATTAACAACACTCATTAGCATAGCCACACCTCCATTTCACACTTGCCCAGGGCAAGTGAATTGGGCCTTTAAGCTAGCCTATTTTAAATATTAAGGTTTGTGTTTACACACAAAATTAAGACAAGTCTAAAATTTGGGTTAGCCAGACAGCGTTATACTTGAAATGAAAGGTCATGTATTGACTTATGCATATATTTCTTCTGTCGCATCTATATGCACAATAATACAATATTTGTTGTATTATAATAGCACCTCTAACTGAAGTTCACATACTGTAAACGCATAAATTATTCAGTGGTTTTTAATTTCGCCATTTAGTACAATTCACTAAATTAATTAAGTTCACATGTAAAATAACAATATTATTTTCTTGCAAAGTTTGTGAAATTAAAACCCAGTTAAATTGCTCAAAACATCAAAATAGTGCAATTAAATGCCAGTGAAAATAAATGGTTTTATAGTAAACAGATACTGAATCACTGAAATGACCTATTTTGACCTCTGACATTTACACAAGCGCATGCACAACTAACAGAGCAAATACGGGACTGTAAAATACTTTCTATTGTATTCTATGTGCCTCTAAACTGAATAATGTTGCAACCTTATATATAAAAGTGAAATGAAAAATAAAAATAAGATATTTTGAATGATGTTGAATAAATTAAATTCACTCCAAGAATGAGTCAATTTTTACAAGTGATTAGGCTATACTTGTCAAGTGCATGTGTATAGAGTGATACACAAGCCTATGAGCACACACTCACATATGGAAGGTATACATGATGTGCCACCTGGCATGTGTTCATTGCATGAGTAAATTCCCAATATATGGTCAAATTTTTTTTGGAAATGAAGCTATTTACCAAAAATAAAAATATAAAAATATTTCCACTTTAGGCTTGCATACAGTTTCTTGTTTATGTTTTGGTGTTGTTTTTCAATAGAATGAAATATTATTTGAGTGTATAAATGGTGAAAGGTAGATTTCTGCTTAACAAACAAGAGACTTGTGTCCCTTGTAAGGGTTCTCTTGTTATTAATATTAATGAGCATTTCAGTGATGTCAGAAAATGGCATAATTTACATATCACATGATTTGACAAAGCATGAATGACATTAAACGTGATTGCTAGCACGCCAACAAACTGAGCATCACAACTGTTGTATTGCTGGGGAATCAGGAATACATTTGCATTGTATGTGGTTCAAAAATAGAAAAAGAGAAGGCAGAAAAGTGCAATTTGGAAAATTAGGGACTTTCGACTACCAGTGCATGCATCAACGGCCACTCGTTTGTATTCTCAAAGGGATGTAAAGCTCTGTATCTTTAGTGCACCTTCAACAGCCTGAGTGTCTTGCAATGCCATCATAAAAAAAATATCAATATTTCGAAAATAAAAGTGTGCAAAATTTGATGCGGTTTCTAATGAACTATCAAGAAGATTATGAAAATTTAACTCTAACTTTATCTAATCTGTCAATCATCGCATCACATACTGAACCTGAACTCCACACCAGTGACCATCATCACTGGTGTCGCAAGAGTGCATCTACAAGGAATACTTGTTTGTTTCGCTGTAACCTGGCTTTTGCGGTAACTTGGCTTTCGCCTATTATAGACTCACATAGTATTTTATTTTATTGAAAAAGCACTAAAAAACGAAAAAGAGAATGTATACAACTTGAAGTCTATTTCAAATCCCCCATTTAATTGGTAATTTTCAGACCAAAAAGTTGATGTTACGAGTTTGATTGAAATTTTTGTTTTGAGTGCTCATCATTCCCAGCATATAAATATTCATGGTCTGTTAGTATTTCACTATTTCATCAGTCAAAACACAATTGAAATTCCAGTTACACACGAAGGTTCAAAAGTTTGTTTATATTTACATGTACATCCAAAATTAGTTTCAATAGTTTGTATTATAATTGTATATCCCATTTGAAAAAACATTATATTTGGATAGGTAAATTAATCTCATGATCTGTTGGTGTCAAATATATGTTTTATCTTGAAGGTACAAATGTGTTCCTATTTCAGTGAAGGCCGAATAGATACGCAACAAGCGAAAAATTATAAAGTATGT